AAGTAATATTGAAATCAGACCAAAACTGTAGAAGGAGTAGCGTTTTAAAGGGATTTCACAGAAAATTCTATTTTTAGTAACCATGGCAACACCGTTCATCGAAATCAAAAACCGATGCACTATTTCATGTATCTTAGTGTAGTGTACTTGTGTGCCAAGTAATATTGAAATCAGACCAAAACTGTAGAAGGAGTAGCGTTTTAAAGGAATTTCAAAGAAAATTCTATTTTTAGTAACCATGGCAACACCGTTCATCGAAATCAAAAACCGATGCTCTATTTTATGTATCTTAGTGTAGTGTACTTGTGTGCCAAGTAATATTGAAATCAGACCAAAACTGTAGAAGGAGTAGCGTTTTAAAGGAATTTCACAGAAAATTCTATTTTTTAGTAACCATGGCAACACCGTTCATCGAAATCAAAAACCGATGCACTATTTTATGTATCTTAGTGTAGTGTACTTGTGTGCCAAGTAATATTGAAATCAGACCAAAACTGTAGAAGGAGAAGCGTTTGAATTTCACAGAAAACTCTATTTTTAGTAACCATGGCAACACCGTTCATCTATATAAAAAGCCGATGCACTATTTTATTATCTTAGTGTAGTCTACCTTTGTGCCAAGTTATATAGAAATCAGACCAAAACTGTAGGAGGAGTAGCGTTTTGAAAAATTGTTTACAGACAGACGGACAGACAGACAGACAGACGGACGGACGACGGACACCTTACTATCGCATAAGCTCTTCTGGTCTTTGACCAGTAGAGCTAAAAAGTTACAAAGAAAACAAAACATATGTTTTTACTGTATAAGTCTATATATGTACAAGTAAGCTAATTGTAGTCCGGGTCCAAATCCCGCGAAGTTGTCTATCAACATCCATTTTGCAGACTTCAGATAATAGCATCATGTCGGACTTTTAAAATTCAAACATATTAGAGGCAGCAAGACAAATGGCTGTAAATATATTACAATAAACCAGTAGCAGATATTCTTTTTCCCCAAGAGAAAATTTTTGAAAGAAAAAAATCCCTTTACACTCTTAAAAAAGTTCATATCAAATTAATTTATTGTGTTCATGCATTACACAATTTGTTGATACATGAAAATTCACTTGGCAAGTTGTACTTTTATCATTTTTGCTTTTCTTTGTACGACTAAGTGAAGTCTATTAAATTTATTTTAGAATAAGTTAATTTAGGAAGCAATCTGATTAAAATCAGATCCTTTGATCCGCTCACATAAATCGCTACTCGTTTAGCGATCTATGTGCGCGGATCAAAGGATCTGCGCACCTGAAATAAATGGATTGTTTTTATTGGGATGGACCCCCCCCCCCCCCCCCCCCCCCGAAAAACAGGATTTGCGCCTTACATATATGAATTAAATAATACAGAAAAGATAAATGCTCTGAGGAACAGGATAATCAAGGTTGGTACTTTTTGCACAAGGGAGATGATAATATTTTTTGGGGGGGGGGGGGGGGGGGGGGGGGATCGATATCAATGACTCATGAAGTTTCAGTCAAAGTGTCACAAAATTTTGGTAACTTGTTGATTAAACATGAATTAAAATGTTTGATAATAAATCTGGAAAACATATTCGAAAGAATAGTTTTAATTTTATTCAAAAGTTTACTATGCGTTTCTTTTTCCTTTCAGTATAGTTGAAACCGTAAAAGAAATTCAGGGGCGGATCCAGCAATTTTCGAGAAGTCGGTGCCCCAGCACTCATGCATAGAATTACAACACGACCACTTGAAGTCCGTAACTACATATATTTATAAGAAAAGGGGGCTCCAAAAGCAGTTGACAAGCCAAAAAAAAAAAAAATAAAACAACAACAAAAACAAAAAAAAAAAAAAAAAAATTGCGCCACACTCTAAAATCTTTCTTTGGGGGTAGAAGGCGCTTTCTGTAACTTTTCTCTTCGGAATGCATTATATAACTACAGCAAAAGATTATTCTCAGAAAAAATGAATCCCCTTCATCTGCATTTTTTTTGCATGTTACTTGTGAGTGGTCGGAACTCTTAGCCGGGGTTTGGAAGGTACGCGAAAATCTGCAGATCTACAGAGCAGAGCGGACAAAGATTTTTCCTTATTTCAAAATATTAGACTTATTTTATATTATAGAAATTTTTCTCTCTATGTACAAAAATAAAAGGGGGTTCCAAGGACCGAACCCCCTCCTCTGGATCCGCCAATGAAATTTACACTGTAGGGCTACAAGGATGAGACTTAATTGTACTCCTGCACAAGGTGTGGTGGCATCTTTGCCATGGTATGCGCAGTAGACCTTGTCCCATGTGCATTTTGCCTAATTTCTCCGAGTCCGAAAACAGTATCCCCCAAACCTGGAGTAATCGCTGTCCTACATTCCTTCACCTTATTTTTAAGCCAAAAAAAAAAGATATGGATACACACATCTTGCCTTAATTTCTTTTCTTTTTAAATATTTTAAAGTACTCGAATCATATCCTAAAATATACACAGGGTCAATCTAATAGATAAAAATGGGTATATAATGTACTATATACCGGTAGCATATGATCCCTTATTATATCTTCTCCGATATACTAGTACAAATAATTTCGATACCGATAATATATTCTATAATACATTCCGAGGTTTACCAATTGGATCCTGATCTATAATTTTGCGTGATTTACGTTCCTATGAAAGTACAAAAATAATGATGACGTGGAAAAACCTGCGCTCCATCTAGCGTTAATTCAAGTAATATCTGTTTTTTGCACGCCATCTAGCGTCAATTCAGTAAATGATTGTTGGTTTTGCATTGGTGATTGTTGGTTTTTCATCGGAGTCTGTTGATTTTGCAAACGAGTCTGTTAATTTTGTTTTAAAGGTTGTCTGTTTTGTATTTTAGTATGTTTATAAAATTAGTTGTTAGTTTTGCATAAACGTCTTTTTTACCCTTTCCGCCGCCCATACTTGGGATCGCGAAATCTGGAAATGTCTATTAGACAGTCATTTGCGCTGCTTTGTCATGCAGAAGAAAACAAATGATAAATCTATACTAGAATTGAATTTGTTTTTGCTTTTTTTTTAGTTTTGTCGCGGAAAATTACATAAAATCCGTCTAACTTAAAACTCCTTTTTAAAACTTTTAATACGGCCCCTTACATATCTACGTACAGAGTACGGGGATCCGAGCTCGTGGCGCTCATACCTGGAAATGTCTATTAGGAACTTGATTTTTGTAGCCTGCGGGCTTTACGTGCATTTGAGAAATTGGATATAATATGATATATCTTCATGTATTGTAAAATAATACTGAAACTATACTGTAATAAAGACCATATTTTAAATTAAGTTCCATTATAATCAGGTAGGAAGCGGGTGTATCATTTAATGATCTCGGTGTTCACAGTACTTCTAGTTACTTAATGCTACATCTTATTTTGGATCTCCCAGAGCAAATCATGGAGGCGGGGGTATCTTTGATTGAGCACAGTGTTCATACATGTAATACCTTTAGTTTGCAACACATTTTAAAACAGGCGCAGAAATATCTATCATCAGTCTTTATTAATATACTGAGTAATTATCAGAAGGAACCTTGCGTTATTTGAAAAAAATAACATGTAATTAATTCAGGAATGACTCTAATTCTTGGTCAAATAATTCGATTATAACCTGGTTTGGGTCAGTTTACGCTTTATAATCCGCGAAGCGGATTATAAAAGATGTAAACTGATCCAAACCAGGTTATAATCGAATAATTTGACCAAGAATTAGAGTCATTCCTTATAATTTAATTTTAATATAATTAAACAACTGTGGGTGTAAAATTGTGATGCTTTTTGCCGCTCAATGATACATCCATAGTAATGGAAGTGATTTGAAAGAAGGGGAGGTAATAAATGATACACAGATCTAGCAATCATGATGTTTGGTTACATGGTAAGATCGAGCTAAAACTGTTTGAAGTTAAAGGTACATTTATTAAATTTGGAATTTTTGATGAATCCCAAGGACTGGAAATGAGGAGATTGCATGGATACAGATCATTCAGCTGGTTGTCAAAGGGCTGTATCCCCATACCAAACCAGGTTATTGAGAAATAATTTGCGTTTCTTTTAGGAAATCAACCAATGAGAAACTAGAATAGAAATAGAAATACTGTAACTGGTACACTTATTTATTGTAAATTTAGGTAGAAAAAGAGAACAATCCATCCCCTGAGAACCCTATGCAGGGGTACACGTTACAATTTGCTGGCAGCGATGAAGGAGAAGTAAATAAGAAAAAGTTACAAGGTACATGGCATTTTACCAGGTCCAGTGGTATCGGATACGCAGAACCAGGTACCATGTAAACATGTACAGTTTCCCAGGTCCAATATAATCAGGTCTTAAGAGTCAAGTGCGTTGTTACCAGGTATTTCTTACCAGGTCCAGGGTAACTGGGACAGAACGCCAATTACATTGATAGCGTTTTGTAGTTACAGCGCACTTTTGATGAATAATAGATTAGGAAAGTTTGAAATGTTCTTAGTTCCATTTTAAGAAATTTAAGATTAAAAAGCTTTGTCTACTCTTTACTAGTAAGTATTTGTATTGTTTCCACAAAGAAAAGTACCAGCATGAACTTCTTTTTGTGATCTAATCTCGGGGCTATGACTGGGACAAATATAAATCTACTACAGGGAAGAAAAAAATTGATAATTTGTCCCTACCTTATCTTGCACATTACATAAGCAAGCAAAAGTCCAGGTGTAAATTTTGTACAAAAATACCGGTTCATTGACAAAGTTTTTGTTAGTTTAAATCCTGTTAATTCTATTAAGAAGTTTAAAAAAAAATTCTTATATTCCATCAAGAGGTTTATTTAATACATGTATATTCTTATCGTCATACAAATTGCCAAACACGAGGAGTTACAAACATGTGCATGCAGGTCACTTTAAAACTAATGCATCAATATTTTGTGTCTACTGTGTACAAAGTGAATCAATAATCAAAGATATACTGAACATACCTTAAATGATCGAACATCAACCTGTTTTTGGTTTTCTCCACAACACCTAAAAGTTTTCTTTCAAAGCGCCTGAAATCGTCTTCATATTCACCCTCGTTCTTCAAAAACAATATTACAAATGCTTATTATCTCTGATTATACCCCCCACAAACGAAGTTTTGGGGAGGGGTTTATAGGAATCACCTTCTGTCCGTCCGTGCGTCTCTCTAGCTGTCCGTCCGTCCGTCTGTCTAGCTGTCCGTCTGTCGGTGCAAACATGTCCGGTCCTTTTTTACGGAGGAACATTAGAATCTACTACTCCAAACAAAGATTGCCCATGACCTAAGGGTGTGTCATGACCTTGACTCAATGTCATTTGAGGAAGTTCAAGGTCACTGTAAGAAAAAATTCTTCCCGTCCATATCTTTCTTTTGGATAAACTTGGAAGGTTTTAATTTCACACAAAGATTGCATATAACCTGAAGGTGTGTCATGACTTTGACTGAAGGTCATTTGGGAGTGTTCAAGGTCACTGGAAGAAAAATTTAATAATTTGTGTCCGGTCCATATCTTTTTCATGGATACACTTGGTAGGTTCTTATTTCACACAAAGATTCCTCCTGACCTAAAGATGGGTCATGACCTTGGGTCTAGGTCATTTGGGGAAATTCAAGGTCATTGGAAGAAAAATTTCATAATTCGTGTCTGGTACCATATATTTCTTATGGATAAACTTGGTAAGTACTCATTTCACACAAAGATTGCTCATGACCTAGATGTGTGTCATGACCTTGGGTCAAGGTCAATTGGGGAAGTTCAAGGTCAATGGAAGAAAAATTTTATAATTTGTGTCCGGTCCATATCTTTCTTTATTATGGAAAAACTTGAATCTACTACTTCACAAAAACATTGCTTATGACCCGAGGTTGTATCATGACTTTGAACCAAGGTCATTTATGCAAGTTCAAGGTCACTGACAGAAAAGTTCAAAATTGTGTCAGGTCCGTATATTTAGTCCATTTTTTTTATTAGGCTGTGCTTTCGTTTCATTTATAAAAAATATAATGAGCAATTACATTTGCATTAAAAATGTTTAAGCATTTCTCTCTTCTCTTAGATCCATAAAATATTCATGATTTAGCACTTCTAAAAAATCTAGCGAGGGGTATTTTGTCCTTTTTGGAAAGTTCTAGTTTTGACTTGAAAAAAGATTTGGCATGGACAGGGAAATAAATGAGGGGCCCACGATCGCTATAGGTCACATGAGTATCATACAACAATTTTCCAACTTTTGAAATTCACCCCTGTCACCGCGCGATCGGCAAAGCTGTTGCGATCGGTACACGGATTATTAAATTTCTTCGCCATTTTCCTTCAACATCTATGACTATTGAGGTGCAACTAGACATGTTTGACACCTTCATAGTTTTTTACGCATTAAAAATCACTATATCGTTTCTTAACCTTAAGTTTTCTAAGAACATTATTGCCTTTACGTTACACACGAAGCTCGGTTTTTTTTGGTAGGTTTTACCTTATTACGAATACTCGACAGTCCAGAAGGGAATTTTGCAATTGTAAATGGATGTCATATATGTTTTCCAATTTTTAAAGCGATCGGCAACTACTCTATATGCGATCGTACAACGAAGAAAATATATTATGATAAACATGCGATCGTGCAACTTGAAATTTATAAAATACTTTTAATGAATTATAGAAATAGATAACCGGGTGGTATTGGAGTAAAGTTTGTCAAAACGGAACGGGACACCGATTATTTGATTTTCGATAGGGAAAGAACGAATTTGATTGACGTTCTATTCTATTACTTGAATAATGTCTACATTTTAAGAGAAAAAGATTCAAAACTCCTTGGAACCCTAAAATTTGCTATTATTTGATGGTTTGATGGTTGACACTTGATTATTTTGAAAAAAAAATTAATAGTATTCATGCTGCACATGATATCTGGATTAGTATTAGTAGTATTTTTACATCGCTATTTTTGTGTCTCGATTTCCGGTATAGAAAACACGAAACATGGATCATGTTTACTTGTGAGTTTTGATCAATTTTTACCTTATCAATCAACATAGATAGGGGTCTGTGTGCATAATTTCAATTTTAATATAGTGCAAAGTATGTCATTTTGATATGGATTAATTTTTGTTGTAATTACATTCAAGATATATTTCTTTAATAGAAAAAACAAACATGGTAAATACAACAAACTGTGATTAAAAAAAAGGAACAAAATAGGAAAGAAATTGAGTATATAAAGTTCCTTTCAACTGAAACTAATTTTCTTTATTTTAATCATTTTTCTTTTTCTTTAAAGATTAACATAACATTTTGTTTTCTGGACAATTTTGTCTTCAAAATGACGGCAAATGTGTTTGAGCTTGAAAACTACTTCTCTGCATTGTATATAGATTTGTACTTTTTTTATCAACTCTTTTTTCTTGTTGTTGTGGAACAGTAAACATTTTTATGCATTCATGGTGAAATGGATGACTATTCACGTGAAAATTTCCTGAAAATACTTAAATTAAATTGCCAAGGTTTTAGGGACATGAATAAAAAGAGGGCTGTCTTTAAAATATCAAAGGAAAAAAAATCTATTTCTATCAAGACAACACTTTGTCAAATATGATGAAAGCATGATTAAAGTATTATGGGGATATAAGCCTTTTTTTAAGTTCTTTCAAATCAAACTCAAGGGGAATCGCTACGCTCAGTAATAATAACTGTGACATAACATTGGTTTATGAATTTAAATATGACAATGGCAATCATTTTATATGTAGTCATAGACAATCTTTCTTTCTTGTAAGTAAATATATATGGACCAAACTTAGATACACCGGCCTTCTATGTAAAGATATTTAATATTGTACAAGATTATGAATCATCACAATACGTGTATGCGGTTATAAGTGGTGACTTTAATTTAATTTTAGATAAGGATCTAAATTCTATGAACTATAAAAACCGAAATAACCCTAAATCAAGAAAAGAATATGATACATGATAGAGATAAGAAATTCAAAAAAAGATTTTTAGTGAAAATAGTCCAAATTTAAAAAAAAAAGATTTACATTTGAGAAGGATAAAACCCATAAAACAGGCAAGACTTGATTATTTCCTAATATCGGAATCATTACTCAAGGTGGCCCCTTATGTAAAATTTGAAAAAAAAGTTATCGTTCAGATCATTGTCCAGTGGTAAGGGTGTTAAAAATGAATTTCTAAAAGAAAGAGGTTTTTAGAAATGAAACAAATTCTTTATACTTGCTGTTAAAAAATATTTATATTTACAAAAGAAAACAATTAAAAATATTAAATTACAATTTGCATACCCTACATATCATTTTGATAATATTGACTCTATTGAAAATGGTACAATTCAGTTTATGCTAAGTGATTATTTATTTCTAGATTCGTTATCGATGGAAATAATAGGAAAATCAATTTCTTACTCAACTTATAATAAAAGAAAATAACTGAAGAAGAATTTCGTATAGACAAAGAAATCTTAAAATTGGAACATAATTTGTCTCAAGTAAACGTTGAAGAATTAGAAAACAAATATGGAGAATTAGAGAATATTAGAAAATCAAATTTAAGGGCCAATGTATTAGGTCAAAAGTGAAATGGATAGAAAAAGGAAGAAACCTTCAAAATATTTTACCAGCTTTAAATCTAGAAATTATCAGAGTAAGGTTATATCTTAAATTGAAAGGGATGATGGAACAATAATTGATAAACAATATGATATTTTTAATGAAGTTATTCCACGAAAATCTATATAAAAGTAGGGAGAATGTGGAATCAGGAAATATCCATGAAAAATTAAAGATGTATGATGTCTTTAAATTGAACAAAACGGAATCAGAAGGTTTTGAAGTCCCTTTCACGAATTCTGAAGTTCTAAATTACATGTATTTGAAAAATGAGAAAAGCACTGGACCAGATGGGCTCACCTGTGAATTTTTTACTTTTTTTGGCAGGACATATGTGCCTTCAAAACAAGAGCAATAACAACTCATATGAATTATCACATTTAACTGAATCAAATATGTTAGGTATAATAACTTGCTTACCTAAACCAGAACCAAAAAAAAAAAAAACAAAAACAAAAAACAACTCTTTAAAAAACTGGCGCCCAGTCAGTCTGTTTAATTTGATTTATAAAATAGCCTCAGACTTTATTGCTGAACAATTGAAAAACGTGTTGAATGAAATAATAAATAAGGACCAAACTGGCTTTTTGAAGGGAAGGTTCATAGATGAAAATATTAGACTAGTTAATGATTTAATACAATACACAGAACAAAAACAAATTCCAGGCTTATTAATGTTAATTGACTTTGAAAAAGCTTTTGATACTATATCATGGAAGTTTATATTCCAAAATTAGACTTTATTAATTTTGGGGAATCCATTAAAAATTGGATACAAACGTTTTATAATGGAATCAAATCATGTGTCATACAGAATGGAATTTTCTCTGACTACTTGCTCCCACAAAGGGGATGCAGACGGGGGGACCCAATTTCACCATATTTTTTTCTACTATGTGCTGAAGTTCTTGGGATTCTCATTCGAAATAATAAAGACATAAAGGGAATTGTAATTGATGGGGAGAAATGGGTTGAAAATGATTGATTATGTGGATTTCTTATGTGCATGAAAATAAAATTGAATCCAAAGACTGATTTCCTCAGACCCAAATTGTTAAGACTTTTTGAATCAGAATAAGGAATGAAAATTGAGTCTCTGGTTAAGAGGTTAAGATTTTGCTGTGAATATCATTGTGTAAAAAAAATGAGTAACAAATTTTGGAAACAAGTTTTACTTAATTGGGTAAAAATCATTGACTGCAGTGCCAGTCAAAATATATATAGCCAAATTCTTCAGGAACATAATTATATGGTTTACAAAAGAATTACCAAAGAATTAAATTGAACAATTCATCTATATTTTTGAAAAGTTATTTTGACAAAGGCATTGTTTTTATAAGATATATGTTTGACCTTATCGCTTCATATAAGGATACGTGTCTTTGACGATCACCTTTTTTAGGTTAGATATTGTTTTGAGGATAATGTATGTATTTTTAATTCTATAAATATGTAGATCATACTTCCTTGAACCATATCATAACAACAGCAACAAATTATGGTAAATAATAACAACAATAAACTATAACAAGGTTGAAAATCCACCATTCAGTCGACTGAATGGTAACTGAATGCCCACTGAATGGTCACTGAAAAGACCCTTTCCCGTGACTTTTCTTAATCATTCAGTCGACTGAATGGCACATAAATTTAGATATGAAACTGATATACTTTCAGTTATCATTCAATTGCATCCTTTTATTGAAAAATCGACTTTTTTTAGCTTTAAAAATTTCTGTCATTTTTTTTCCTGGTATAATAGAAATAGAGAATATTCAATGTTTTGTAGTTGAATATGGAGTTTATTTCACGAGTGGGACAGAATTTTTTCATATTTTCACGAGTGCGAAGCACGAGTGAAAATATCAAAAAATTCCTGTCTCACGAGTTAAATAAATTCCATATTCAACTACAAAACATTGAATTTTCTGTTTATTACATTTAAAAAAAATCTTTGATTTTTCCTTTACCTCTGTCTTTTTGTAATACAGTCATAGACTCGTGACGTCATAGTTTTGCAGTTGAGACGTCATTGCTATATGACATGAAAACACTGTAAACATGGATTTAGCAACATATTTTTGGTAATTTTGACAGTTTTATTCGCTGTCAAGATGATTTATTTTTTTTCATCTATCTTATTTTATGTCAAGGAAGTTTTTTAAGAATAATCTTCGTTAAGAGAAGGGAAATCGAGATTTTCCCCGCACTTTTGATATTCGTCACACTGTGACAGGATATCATTTTGATATCCTTTCAAACTGTGACAGGATATCATTTTTATTCAATGAATAAATTACAGTATTTCAAGGGTAAAAATGTAATAATTAAATTAATCTAATTCAAATAAATTATGGAGGAAAAAATTAATACAAGAAAAAAAAGTCGTGCATATGGCCAGAATCGATCCGGGTCTCCTGCTTGAGTATCCGCGACGTTATCAATTAAACTACGATTTCTTGTTGAATGCTATGGATTTAAAATCAATAGATTCGTAGAAATCGATTGAAAAATCGGTTCACCTGTTATATCGAGGAGCTGCGATGTGTATATATCTTGTATATCTTTTGTATATTCTATGTTAGTTGCGCGGATTTTGGGGACAGACTGATTAATTACACATCTTCTATTGGGATGATGGCAATTATCAGCGACGGGCACCTGTTCCTGTGTCAGAGATTTGAGATCGCTCTAAATTCTCTATCTAGAAACTTAGTAGAATATCATTAATTTAAAAAGCTAAAAATCTACAATAGTTTTTTTTCTACAAGAGGCATGTATAAATGATTTATTCTATTCATATAAAATGATGTCTTTCGAAAGCTAAAATATCCTGAGGTTTTGACAGTTAAGAAACGAGATTTATGATGTTATGGTTCCTCAAGAAAAGGTGTAAATAATATTCATTCTGCCTCATCATTCAAAACTAAATATTTCCATGAAAAATACACGTATAAGCACTACAGAATGTGTTATACGGCATTTATTCAAATTTTAATTCGACTATTATACCATCATTTTTTATCACTTGAATGTTTTTTGTTTTCTTAATCTAATTAGAAAATTAAAAATCATTTTGAATTAGTATCATTAACATGCTTTTTCAAAAATAAAATTATGATAATCAGTTAGACATATTTTAAAGGTACCGGAATTAATCACGATATGAAAAAAAAAACAATTAAGATTGAATAATAAATAGAGGATATTCAATGTTTTGTAGTTGAATATGGAATTTATTTCAAGAGTGGGACAGGATTTTTGATATTTTCACGAGTGCCAAGCACGAGTGAAAATATAAAAAAATCCTGTCTCACGAGTGAAATAAATTCCATATTCAACTACAAAACATTGAATTTTCTGTTTATTACATTTTTAAAGAAAATATTTGATTTTTCCTTTTGCCTCTTTCTTTTTGTAATACAGTTATATGCTACATGACGTCATAGTTGAGCAGTTGAGACGTCATAGCTTAGTGAGGTGAAAACACTGTAAACATTAATTTATCAACATATATTTGGTAATTTTGACAGTTTTATTCGCTGTCAGAATTATTTATGTATTTCCATCTACCTTATATAAGGTCAAGGAAGATTTTTTTTACAACAATCTTCGTTATAGGAAGGATCATCGAGAGTTTTCCCGCATTTCTGATATTCGTCACACTGTGACAGGATATCATATTGATATCCTTTCACACTGTGACAGGATATCATTTTTATTCAATGAATAAATTGCAGTATTTCATGGGTAAAAATGTAATAAATCTTTATTCAAAACATTGCGTCATTGTTAAGAAAAATACCTGATTATAAATTAATAAGCTAGTGAAAAAAATCGCTTAATTGAGACTAAAATGTCACTGAATGGTAGCGAAAAGGTCACTGAAAGACGACAGAAAGGTCACCGAAAGTCGACGGAAAGGTCACTGAAAGTCAATGGAAAGATGACCAAAGTTGACGGAAAGGTCACACAAAGTTGAAGGAAAGGTGTTCGCTGAAAGGTGTCTTAAATGTGACTGAAAGGCAACTGAAAGGTCACTGAAATGTATTTGCCACTCAGTGGCTGAATGGCCACTGAAAACACTGAAAGTCGCCTCTTTAAGTTTTAACTGAAAGGTCTTGTTTCTTCTTGTGTATTTCAAAGCATAGAAATTTGATAAATTATTGTCGAATTGATCGATAAAATTTGCATAGAAACTGTTTGACATATCTAATAACGGTGAATTCTTTACAATAGATAATTATCTAAATCAATGTTTTTCTCAAATTATATTAACAGCTGGTTACATACATCCATAACCTATTAAATTTACCGCCTACAATACTTTTTTTGTTCAATGTTTTGATCATTGTTGCCCATCACGTGTTGACAGGGGTAATATTGGTTTGTGTTTAAAACCACCAGAGGCTAGGACACTCATAATTTTGAAATGGGCAAAGAAGACGGTACGGTGTGAGCTTTATTTTACCCTAAAATGTATCCCCCTCCCCCAAAATAGGAATTTTTTAAGTCCAAAAAGGCATAACTCTATCAAAAATGGTGGAATCCCACATGTACCTAAAACAGAACTTGACCTAGATATTCATGATAATAATAATAATAATGATCTTTATTCAGGTAAAGGCATTGAGTAATGTACAATAACATTTAGGTGTGAGAATTAATAGTATAAAAAATTATAAATAAATAAATATACATAATTTAAGAGATCAGTTATAATACTAATTGACTTATAAATCTTATTTTTATATAATTCAAATAAATAGATTATATAAAATATGCCTAAACCCAAGGATAGCCCATGAAAGCCAGTATTCATCTGATAAATCTGTATGTATTACCAAATTTCATTTCAGTATGTGCATATCTGCCAAGAAAATAATCTGCAAATAATTGGAATACGGAAGTCCAAGGGCATAACTCTTAAAAAGGGTATAAAATGATGCGATAGTACCCAAAACAGAACTTAGCCTAGATATTTATCTGATAAATCTGTATATTAAGTTTCATTTCAGTATGTGCAACCTCTGCGAAGAAAATGAACGGAAACTTCAAATAATTAGAAATTTTCTCAGTCAAAGGGCATAACTCTGTCCAAATGGAACCCCGGAACAGAACTTAACCCAGATATAAATGTTATATATCTGTATTCAAAATTATATTTCAAAATGTGCAATGGTTGTGAAGAAAATGAAGGAAACTAGGTGGATCGACAGACCTACAGACAGACCGACCGACAGACAGCAGCAAAGCAATATACCCTCCGTTCTTGGAGGGGGGCATAATTAAAGTTCAAGTTTGTATTTTATCCCCCTTCAATAATTTTTAAAATTTACGCAGACAGGCTGGTTAAATAAGGTTAAATTTTGTTGTTTTGTGTGAAAACATACACCAACATATGTAATACAATTTGCGCAAACATTTTTGATGAAAAAAAATAAAATCAACGGAAAATATATGAATATAATCAATGGAATTTGTTCAGATATAAAACGAACACAGGATAGTTATATTTTTGTCATAAAAGAGGTAATTTCCTCCTTTTTATGCTTTATGAATTTGTAAAATATACCAGTCGTTTCGAATTACAAAAAATATTAACCCGAGAAAAGTTAGTATTATTCGTTTCTTGATGTTGTTGTTGATGGAGATTGACATTACATACCTGTTTTAAACAAACTTTATAAACATTTTCTTTCGATAAGGTGGACCATTCCCGGTATAGAGTATCCAAGATGTGGGAAAATGTTTTTTCTTTGTCACTGCCCCCATGGGTCTCTTCTGTACTTAAAAACTCTTCGTCTTCGTCTGAACTGTCATCTTCGCTATCAATATTATCCCATTTGTTTGTCAAAAATATTACATCTTTTATATCGAAGAAGGGCATCTCGGCTTGTTTGTCTACCACAACTTTCAGAATCCGCAGCAACTAGTTAATCAAAATGATTCAAAACAAACGAAAACATATTCGTTAATATCTACAAACACATTTGAAATAATATTGCATATTTTTCCTTAAAAATCTCTAAGAGTAATTCTATGTTGACTTAGATTTTCATCTATCAAATATGTGTACTAAATTTCATTCCAGTATGTGCAACCTCTGCTAAGAAATGAACGATACTGCAATTAATTGGAATTTTTGTAAGTCCAAGGTGCATTTCTGTCAAAATTGGCGCCATCGTATCCAGCACATAAATTAATCTAGATATTCATCTGATAAATCTGTATACCAAATTTCATTTCTGCATGTGCAACGGCTGTGAAGAAAATGAAGGCAAAAGGAGTGGACCGACAGACCAACAGACAGCAGCAAAGCAATATGCCCTACTTTCTTGGAAGGGGGGGGGGGCATAAAAAGATAAACCACTTCAATAGTTGCAGCTAAAGGATTAAAGGTTGAGCTTTGAAGATCATTCGGACGCATGCCTGATGTGAAATTGCTAATTAGATTTTAAATTAAAACAATTTACCTGAATCCATAGGGACTTTATTTCTCAAAGTCTAATAAGCAAGAGCATGCTATGCAAACTATTTATGTCCTGAAAGGGGGCAAGTTTCGAAGGTCGATAATTTGATGCATTAATATTTCTTTTCCTTGTAGACTGTGCCATGAATCCAATTAAACATATTTACAAGAGGCCGATGGTCCACATCGCTCACCTGAGCACATTTGCTTAGAATGAAAAAAATCAGTTAAACACTAAAGAGTTTACATGGGATGGGGGTTGAAATTTGAATTACCTGATAATAATATCATTGCATACTAATATAACAAATGGTTTGCTTTTCTTAAGACGTAGAGTTTTTCCTATAAACCCTGTCATTCATTTTCAAAAAATTGACCCTATTGTGGTCCAGCACTACCTTTGTGGGATCATTTAAACTAATTTGATTTTACACTACCTGAGGATGCCTCATTATCAATATGATTAATCATGGCTTTTATGTTCTTGAGAAAAAGATTTTTTATGCCCCGCCATGAATATGGTCAGGGTATATAGTGTTTGTCATGTCCGTCTTCCGTCTGTCCTTCCGTCACACTTTGCGTTTAGCTCCGTTCAAAGCTAAGTTTCAAAAAAACTATCCAAGATATTTTCATCAATCTTCATATGCTGATAGATATTGATGAGAGCTATGCAAATGCATCAACATTTTTTTTACCTTGACCTTTCCTTTGACCTTAACCCCACTTTTTTTTAAAATTAGTGTTCAGCTCAGTTTTAAAAATACCATTCAAGATAGTGTTATCAAACTTCACAATTTGATACACACTTGCACGGATGATGCATCGAGGGATGAACACTACCAGACTTGCCTCGGATGCTGGATCTGACCTACATTTTCCAGATGAGTGACCAGGTTAATGTTTTTTGGAGCAGGTCCATTCCTAAGGAACTATAAGCCCTACTAGGACCAAACTTGCATGGATGATGCATCTAAGTATTGACACTACCAGACTTGCTTTGGATGCTGGATCTGACCTACATTTTCCAGATGAAGGTAAGATTAATTTTTTTGGAGCAGGTCCATTTCCGAGGAACTGTAAGCCCTACCCAAACAAAACTTACACGGATGATGCATCTTAGGATGTACACTACCAGACTTGTTTCGGATGCTGGATTTGACCTTTATTTTTATTTCCAAGTAACTATAAGTCCTACCTGAACCAAACTTGAAAGGATGATGCATCTGGGTATGGACACTACCAGACTTGCTTCGGATGCTTGATCTAACCTATATTTTCATTCCTAAGTAACTATAATTTCTGCCTGAAGCAAACCTGCATGTATGATGCATCTAGGGATGAACACTACCAGATTTGCTTCGGGTGCTACAACTGACCTTTATTTTCATCCCAAGTAACTATAAGCCCTACTTGAACCAAACTTGCATGGATGATGCATCTAGGGATGTGCACTACCAGACTTGCTTCGGACGCTGGAACTGACCTACATTTTCATTCCCAGAAACTATAAGCCCTGTCTGAACCAAATTTGCATGGATGATGCATCTAGGGATGGACACTACCAGACTTGCTTCCGATGCTGGATCTAACCTATATTTTCCAAACAAGGGACAAGGTTAAAGTTTTGGGAACAGATCAATCCCAATAAATTTGATGTTTTTGATATCCTCAGTATTAACAAAGTTAGGAATATTTGCTCACACTATACATGTTTTTCACGCTACATGTGTAGAAATGTGTATATGCCATGAAAGGGGTTAAACACAACTTTCAAGAATATTGTTGTTGGGATAAATTCTAGATGTTAAGAAAATATGATGTGAGATTTGCATTTAACTTACACTGATAACATTCGTCAAGGTAAGCTTCGTAATCTTCGCAGTACTGTTAAGGCTTCCCGGAGCTTAAAATGCATTTAAAACGTAACACTGCATTGCAAAGTTGATTTTGAGTTTTATTTTTAAGTTATGTACTTAAGTACGCCTGAGTCATATAGAGAGTTCTCTAGGCTACACATAAACATATTTGTTACGATATCATATGACCTTGTTGATCATGTGACGATCATTTCTTCTTTTTTGGAATGTTTCACATAAATCGCTTCGGCGCAGATTATAAACACAATTATTATTAATTTTTTTTGTCACATAAATAAACTCTTTGCATTCTTGTGAACCCGAAATGTGCTCGGGAAAAGTTAAACTATTTCATTGGTACAATTTATTTCAAATTAACTCAACTTACCGAAAAATCTGAGGGTATTTTCCGCTGAATATTGTAACCTGTTTTAAAACAAAGCCATCATACATTTTTCCCAAGCAGGATTCAATTAGGTTGGAAACTCCTCTTACATATTTCCACAAAAGATATTAAATAAATCCTCATTAATAACCTGCGCCAGGCACTTTTATACACATATTATGAAATCTGCCTCTGTCCACGGGTTTAAAAAAAGGTAAATGTCAAACGTTTATTTTCCTAAGTACTTTTAATATGCTGACTCAAAGCAAAGTTATCTAAATTATTCGGATACATTAGATTTTTGGAAAAAAAATGCTAACACGTTTATTTAAAACTAGCATTCTGCATTTTTATATGCAGATTGAAATAAGTTGTAAATTTTATGACACTCTCCCTATCTTTACAGCTCAAATATGCAGTGACTTGACGTCATTTTCGATTATGACGTCATACATTTGTAGTTCAGAGAAGTACATACACATAGTACACTACAATGTTCTCTGGGAAGCCTTATCGTACCTGCGGTTTATTACCTATGTTTTATTAAAGACATCATTCTAGATATTTTTATCAAACTTCATATCAAACTTCGTATGTTGATACATATTGAGGAGAGATTTGGAACTGCATCAACATTTTTGACCTTGACCTTTGCTTAAACATTGACCTCACTTTCCTAAATAAGTGTCAAACATCATAAGCTGATATATAGTGAGGCACGCATTTCAAGTGTATCATCATTTTTAACCTTTACATTTCTTTTGACCTTGACCTCACTCTTATCCATTTTGTTTAAGTCAGTTTTACAGAAACCATTTATAATTATATTTTCAACTTCATTTGCTGATACTTACTGATGAGAGCTTTTCAACTGAACAGTTTTCGACCTTGGTATTTCCTTTGACCTTGACCTCACTTTAATGAAATTAGTTTTAAACTTTATATGCTGATACATACTAATGTAAGCAATTCAGCTGCATCACTTTTCAAGATATTCTGATCAAATTTTATACATATACAAATTTTCATGTTGCTTTACAATATATCCACGGCGGGGCATTTATGACCTATGGACAAATTTCTAGTTTCTATATATTCCTATGTAAAACTTTGATCCTATTTTATGGCCGACCCTACACCCGGGGTCACGAATTGAATGATATTGATTCAACACTACCTTAGGATGCCTCCTTTAAGACATGACCAATCATAGCTTTTCTGTTCTTAGAAAGAGGACTTTAAAGAATTTTCGGATGTATTCCTATGTTAAACTTTGATCACCCATTGCGGCCCCACCCCCTTCATAATTCAAACAATTTGAAACTATACAAACTGAGGATGCTTCCATATAAATATCAAGAGCCATTGCTTGGTTGTTCTTGAGAAGATTTTTTAATGATATTTTATATGTCTATGTGAAACTTTGATCCCCGACTGTGGCCCTACCCTACCCCAGGGGTTATGATTTGAACAAAGTTGAATCTACACAACACAACCTTAGGATGCTTCCATATAAACTTTACAAATCATGGCTTTGCTGTTTTTAAAAAGAAAACTGTAAAAGAATGTCCTATTTTTTATGTTAAACTTTAATTATCGTCCATTGTGGTCTAATCCTACCCCTTGGGGATAGAAGTGAACAAACTTGAATCTACACAAAATGAAGATGCTTCCATAAAAGTATGACCATCCATGGCTTTGCTGTTCTTGAGCTTTTCAACATTTGTTTCCTATATATTTCTATGTAACTTTGATCACCCATTGTGGCCCTACCTACTTCGTAATTCGAACAATTTGAAATTACAAAATAAATATTAAGAATAATTGCTTTGTTGTTCTTGAACAGATGTTCAACAATTTTTATGCGCGCAGATCGAAAGATCCGAGGCGTGAATTATTTTTGTCCTGTCTGTCTATCTATCTTTCTGTCTGTTTGTCTGTTAATCTGTTTGTCTGTTAATCTGTTTGTCTGCAAACTTTAACCTTCGCCATAACTTTTGAACCATGAATGAAAGAGACTTCATGTTTGGTATGTATACTCCACTAGTAAAGCTCTTTCAAATGACACTAAGGTCAATGACCTTGTGATCCTGACTGTGACCTATATGCTAAATTTTTTTTCTGCAAACTTTAACCTTCACCATAACTTTCGAACCATAAAAGATAGAAAATTCATATTTGGTATGCATACACCACTGATTAAGTTCTTTGAAATGACACCATGGTCAATGAACTTGTGACCTTGACTGTGACCTATACGCTAAATATAGTTTTTTTATCGGCAAACTTTAACCTTCCCCATAACTTTTGAACGGAGAAAGATAGAGACTTAATATTTAACATGCATACTGCACTAACTAAGCCATTTCACATGACACCAAGATCAATGACCTTGTGACCTTGACTATGTCCTATATGCTAAAAATAGCTCTTTCGAACCTTCACCATAACTTTTGCACCATGAAAGATAGAAACTTCATTTTTTGGTATGCATACTTCACTAATAAAGTTCTTTCAAATGATACCAAGATCAAAGACCAAAGACCTTGTGACCTTGACTGTGACCTATAAGCTAAAAATATGTTTTTTTTAACTTTTTGCTTCCGGGCGCATAGTGTTTCAAAAACACATCTTGTTTTCCTATATATTTCTATGTACAACTTTGATCCCCCACTGTGGCCCCACCGTAGCCCAAGGGGTCAAGATTTGAACAAACTTGAATCTATACTACCTTAGAATGCTTCCATACACATATGACCAATCAAGGCTTTGATTTCTTGAGAAGAAGAGTTTTATAGAATTTCCGTTTGTATTCTTATTTGAAACTTTAATCAGCCATTGTGGCCCCGCCCTACCCCCAGTGGTCATGATTTTGAATAAACAGAAATCTACAGTACCTGAGGATGCTTCTACGATTTTCCCTCTATATTCCTATGTAAAACTTTCATAATCCATTGAGGACCCGCTCTAACCACTCCTCCCCCGGTGGGTCATGATTTGAACAAATTGGATTATACACTACCTAAGGGTGCTTCCATATAAGTTTCATCTTTCTTGTGATTCTGGAGAAGTAGATTCCATTATTTTTAAAGGATACCATTAATTTTTCACTAATTCATAATTATCTCCTCTTGAAAAAGGGTGTGGCCCTTCATTTGAAGAAACTTGAATCTTCTACACCCAAGAATAATTTATGGGAAGTGTGGTTGAAACTGGCCCTGTGGTTCTTGAAAAGAAGTCGAAAATGTAAAAAGTTTACAGAGAGACGGACAGACCGACGGACGCCGGACAAAATATTATCATAAAAGCTTACTTGAGCCATCGGCTCAAGTGAGCTAATAAAAGTTGCGGTAAACACGTAGGTTTGTTTTCAGAATTTGGGGGATGGAAGTATGAAAGATCGATTTGTTCACGTTTTCGCCTTTTAAAAATCATATTGGGTATGTAGCTACATGTACGTCGTACTTGGTCGTATTTTGGGGTGTTTAAGTCATTAGAACTCAACAGACCGTAGCACTTACGCATGCTTGCTTATCCTATATATTGGTGTTTGAGTTTTTTATTTTTAAATAATCGATGTTTGAATTTGGAACATAAAGAATATTTTGAGAAGTGTGTGTTCTTAACAATCCAAAGCAGTTTTGAATTGTTAGTAGGCTGATGTGTAGATTGTATACAAGTAAAGCTTTTTGAGAAAGCTTACCGTCTCTAGCAACAACCTTAAACAGTAAGTGATCTAAACATATCAGGCCGTATTATTCTTTTGAATTTCTTGATTTTGTTTTTCTACATTAGCTTTTTACTGACATTAGCCCTACCACGGTTGTCGCTCGTTCATCTTCGTAAAATTTGACTGGCTGGGAACTTTAGGCAAACCTCGGGTGATTCAATTACATTCTTCAAACAAGGGAAAAAGAATTGTAAAAATTTTAAAGCCTGCAAGTAATAAAAATCAGATTTTATTTTCAATGAAATTAAAGAGACCTTTTTAATTATTGCTTTAATAAAAATATAATGTTATATAGAATTGATTACTGCTGATTTTGTTGTTCGTTTTGTCATTTTTTAAGATTGAAAATCTTGCAAAATTGTTAAGTCGTAGAAAAATTAGTTCATCAGAAAATTATCTCCTTTGCCTTGAATAGCATTTTAATCAATAAAATAATTCAAAATTTTCTCATCGTGCAATTTCTACCAATCACAAAAGAGAGGAAGTGCATAGTCGGAACACTGTAAAAAACTTCAACTACATAATACCGTCTTACAAGGGAGACGGTAATGAGATTGTAGTATTTCCCGAACGGCCTTACACGAAGGAAACGAGAATAAATTACGAATTGTAAAAAATGCATACATGAACAGTATTCTTGACTATTATGATGTAAATATTAAAAATAGCGTCATTTTTAGTTAAATTCGTTTTGTTCAATTTTTAGCTCATCTGAGCCGAAGGCTCAAGTGAGCTTTTCTGATCAAAATATGTCCGTTGTCTGTCGTCGTTGTTGTCGTTGTCGTTGTTGTCGTTGTCGTCGTAAACTTTTCACATTTTCATCTTCTTCTCAAGAACCACTGGGCCAATTTCAACCAAACTTGGTACAACGTATCCTTGGGTAAAGAGGATTTAAGTTTGTTCAAATGAAGGGCCACGCCCTTTTCCAAGGGGAGATAATCATGAATTTGTTAAAAATTAATGGCATTTTTAAAAAATCTTCTTCTCCAGAACCGCTGGGCCAGGAAAGATGAAACTCGTGTGGAATCATCCTCAGGTAGTGTAGATTCAAGTTTATTCAAATCATGACCCCCGGGGCTAGGTCGGGGCCAAAATGGCCGACCCTAGTTTTTCATAGGAATATATAGGAAAAATATTTAAAAATCTTCTTCTCCAGAACCACTGGGCCAGGAAAGATGAAACTCATGTGGAATCATCCTCAGGTAGTGTAGATTCAAGTTTGTTCAAATCATGACCCCCGGGGCAAGGGTGGGGCCAAAATGGCCGACCCTAGTTTTACATAGGAATATATAAGAAAAATCTTTAAAAATCTTCTCCTCCAGAACCACTGGGCCAGGAAAGATGAAACTCATGTGGAATCATCCTCAGGTAGTGTAGATTCAAGTTTGTTCAAATCATGACCCCCCGGGCAAGGATGGAGCCAAAATGGCCCACCCTAGTTTTACATAGGAATATATAGGAAAAATCTTTAAAAATCTTCTTCTCCAGAACCACTGGGCCAGGAATGATGAAACTCATGTGGAATCATCCTCAGGTAGTGTAGATTCAAGTTTGTTCAAATCATGACCCCCGGGGCAAGGGTGGGGCCAAAATGGCCGACCCAAGTTTTACATAGGAATATATAGGAAAAATCTTTAAAAATCTTCTTCTCCAGAACCACTGGGCGAGGAAAGATGAAACTCATGTGGAATCATCCTCAGGTAGTGTAGATTCAAGTTTATTCAAATCATGACCCCCGGGGCTAGGGTTGGGCCAAAATGGCCGACCCAAGTTTTACATAGGGATATATAGGGAAACCTTTTAAAATCTTCTTTTCAAGACGTCAAAGCTATGATTAGTGATATTTATATGGAATCATCCTCAGGTAGTGTAGATTCTAGTTTGTTCAAATGATGAATGCTTGGAGGGGGGGGGGGTAAATTCAAGCCCGATGTGCTCAGGTGAGCGCTGTGGCCCCTGGGCCTCTTGTTTGATTTAAAAATCTGTTATATCTGTTGTACAAAAAATGACTCGCACAAAAAATCGCAACTGCATTGAAAAACATTTAAATAAACAAAATCACTAAAATCTGTCCAATAATTTTCAAAAGATTTGACCTATTAAAGACGTAATTTTCTAACCTTAAATATCCATCCTGTATTAGATACTCTGAAGCTAATTCAAAGCAGTTTAGAAAAAAAGGGATTTACCATTATCAATTTTCAAAAATATAATTACCCGAGCAGTAATCAATTAATAATTAAGAATGCATTTAGATTTAGGGAAACAAGCAAATGTTTTAAAATAAATAAATACTATGAATATTCTAAAGTGGAAAGATGTACTTGTATATGTTTATTAAGAATAGAAAAAACGATTATTTATTAACTTTTTATTGGATTGAATTAAAAAAAAAATCTTCAAGGACAGGTCACATTCCGCTCTTACATATTGAGCATGAAGATTATATGTCTACCTGTACTGAGAATATGACACATTCCGCTCTTACATATTAATACTAAAACATGGAGATTATATGTCTACATATACTTATGCATTCAGATTTTGTGAATCTGAGGATATTATGGATCGGATACCTTAATCAGTTTCCATGGTGGTGATCAGTTTAATGCATCGTTTTTGAAAGGAAAAGAGTTTTTGACTGACAATTACAGAATTACTATTGTCACAGATGAAAATGTACCATCGAACATTTTGACAATTACTTTGCATATTTTTGATTCAAAATTCTCACATTTGTTTTTAATTTAATAAGTTGTCATATTTGCTTCAATCTGTCAGATTAATCTATATTGAAATATTTAATTATCTTAATCATTTTAATTAGCCATGAGTGATATGCCCAGATGGACTCTGCTTTGTGTGACTTAATTATTGTTTATTTAAAATCATAATATTTAATTCTACTTGTAAATCAAATTAACCCATATTATATATTACTCAAACTTATCAATTATCAACCATGTCTATAAATACAAATTTTTGTTAATATTCGGTGAATTTGAATCGGGACGCGCTTGTCCTTGATACTGTCCGACCTGACGAGAAATAAAGGTCTGCAAATCGTAAAGCGTATCCTACGCGAGGGTGTGATAGTACATAGAGTACAATAATTCAACAAAAAATGTATCGAATCAGACCTCTTTTTGCTTAATACAAAAATGATTCAAAAAATTAAAATAAAACACACCTCAATAAATACAGAAAAAAATATTACGCAAATCCCATGACTTATTTCTCCTATTTTGTTGAGATTTCTAAAATATTTGGGCGTTTTAAATTGTAATGTGAAAAAATAATTATATCAGGAAACAAACTAATCAGAAGAAACCCTTGTTATTTTCCATTTGAATATTAACCTAATGTGTGAAAATTGTATTGAACAAGTTTACCCGGTTTTCTCGGAATCCTCCAGCATTTGCAGCGTCTACGACAAATATGAAGCATGAAGCATTAGGAAGATAATCGAAAAGAATTTCATCGAGAGATTTCTTGAAACCAATACCAGGTGTATCAACGAGTACCATGTGGTTCTATAAAAATGGAGAAATATGAATCATTCACATTGTCATTTACTTTAAAAGCATTGCATTCTTTCAAACTTATTCAACTTATATGAAGAGAATGTAATTTGTTTTAAATTATTCGTTCAGATTTGTATTATACTAGTAATATATAGATGCACATTAACCTGCAATGTTTCAGAGGACATGTAAATATCGACGTAGTGTATGTCTTTCCCGTTGATCTGTTTCTTTTTGTCGAGTTCTGTGTAACTGCGAAGTTTTTCAAACAACATTGTAGGGCCTTCAATGTCCACGGAACATAAAAAATCGTTTTCTGTAGTGTAAAATTCTATTTTTTCTACTTTTGATTTGCGAATTCTACATACGCATGCGGTCGAGGCTAGGGTTCTCGGTTCAAAAATTTGGCGTCGTAGCAGTTTGTTGATAAATGAAGTCTTCCCTGCACTCGTGTCACCTGAAAAAATGTTGTTTAATTCAAATATACGAGGGCAGTTCAAAAATTTCGCGGACTGTGCTATAATTAATTTACTCTTACAGACGTCATATAGTTATAAAATTTCACAGAAATATGTATCTTAAAAATTCCAATAAATATTGGGCAAAATTTCTGTATTTTAAATAAGTTCTACGAAAATTATCGATATGTTGATATCGCTGATGAAGATGTACGGAGCACGACAAAAAACTGAAGCAAAAGCTTGCGGAATCCAAAATTTAACTCATTAATTTTCTATAATTCGCGATATTTTTCGACAATTTTCTCAAATGTATCTATAAGTTGTTCTATGTTTATGTATTAAGATTTCTGACATGCTATTTGAAGTACTAACAGAAATATAGTGATCTTTTTTCTAATGCGATTCCCCTGAAAACGACTTTGAAAATGTCGTCTCCTGAATTTACGGCGCACCACCCTTTTGTTAAATTCTAAAGGTTTAATACTCGAGATATCGCCAACATAGATCCAATATATGCATAGTAGTAAACTAGGGTATTCGTGACATTCGTCCACAAATAGCAAAATGAAATTTAAGACCGTTAGAGCTCTGTAAAATGCTATGCGGGAGGACGGGAAGAAGATTATCTTAGATTAACTTTATCCGGACTGTAAAGAACGTTATAGATCCGTTTTATATAACATAACTTGCTTACGTCACAATGAGTTACGTCATAAACGTATTACTCCGCTTGACGTTAGTTTTAAAAGCCTTATTCTGGGGGGTTGGGGGAATTGTCTCATTGTCTGCACTGCAATCAGATGATAAGGAATGAAGCTTATTTCAACTTATTTTATACGATATAACAAAACCTGGGGCAGTTTACGCTTTGTTATAAACCGCTTTGCAGTTTATAAAGCGTAAACTGCCCCAGATTATGTTATATCGTAAAATATAAGTTGAAATAAGCTTCATTCCGTAAATGACGTCACCTTGTTCGACATGTACATCATAATATTTTTCTTTAATTTTGAAAAATCCATGCTTTACATTATCATGTGCATGGCTTCCATCTTTGAAGAAAATTCGACAACGCCCATGCCCAGGATCTAATTCACGATCCCGAAATTGGCGGTTGAACGCGCTACATACTACTCCTTAGACGCAATTTTCCATAGCTTTGTACTACATGTATAAATAATATATATAAACTGAGTTTCAAATATTTTACACTTAAGATGAACAATAATTTTAAATAGTTTATTGCAATCTTCGCCCTTCACTCAACTAATTTTTTCCGAAAATATCTGTAGCTATTTTGGTATAGTATTCTTACGCTATATAAATCCTTAAAATACTATGCGAAAATAGTTTGGTATTGACTATAATCAATCTTTGAACGTTTTTCTTGCGTCTTTTCAGTACTGATTATCTATTTTCCCAAATAAAAATGTTCCCAAACAACAACCTGTTCATTATTATTGATCACAAGTAGATTTAACAAAATCTTTTCTTAGAAAAAAAATCTTAGCTCGATGAATTAGTAGCGTAACCGCCTATCAAGCTGATTTACTCCTTGTGTACCTTTTTGGGAAATCTACGGCGAACGCTTAGTGCAATATTTATATCCGAATCCCAGCAGGCACACAACATTGATAAAAAACTTTGATCAACGTTGATTATATATGTTGAAGTTTAACGTTTAAGTTATGTTAGATTTTGAAAAGTGAGTTCAACGTTGAAACCTTAACGTTGATTCAATGTTGAAAATCAATGTTGATTAGACATTTTAAAAGTTAATTCAACGTTGTTTTTTTTTTTTAATTTTCCCGTGAGGGGGCGAAGGAAGGGCATTACTTACTTAAAATTTTAACCGCTTTATTACAGGTTACTATAAGATGCCTTCATAATTTTATAAAGGAAAGCATACGGTATATAAAAAATCTATAATGTAAACATTTATTTTACTTCCTATCAATAGATGTGTTACTAAAGATTTAACCAAAATACATAATACATGTAAAAATTAATCATGTTAAAACACCTGAGCATTTACAAACGTTCTGTATATTCACATGTGGTCATGAAATAGTCCAGAACATGAAACCATTGCAAGATAAGATGTAAATCTTAAACGGTACCACTTTTGATGCATCAGATACGCATTTCAACAAATCATGTCTCTTCAGTAATACTCTGACATGCCGAAAGGTTTAATTTATGGTGGAATGCCACATCAACTTTTTATTTTATAGATCTTTAAGTCATCCTTTTTAAATAATGGTTTCAGCATTGAAAGGCCGATATTAGCTCTTCATTATTTTATATGAATTTTTTTTGTATTTTTTCAAAGAAAGTGAAATCAAGATGTGTTTGTGAAACACTATGCGCCCAGCGGCAACAAAGTTAGGATAAGCTATTTTTAGCATTAAGGTCAAGGTCACAATGTCATTGACCTTGGTGCCATTTGAAAGAGCTTTATTTGTGGAGTATGCGTACCAAATATGAAATCTCAATCTATCACTATTCAAAAGTTATAGTGAGGGTTCAAAAAGCTATTTTTAGCATATAGGTCACAGTCAAGGTCACAGATTGATTGACCTTTGAAAGAACCGGATTTGTGGAGTATGCATACCAAATATGAAGTCTCTATCTTTCATGGTTCAAAAGTTATGGTGAAGGTTAAAGTTTGGGACAAACAAACAAACAGGACAAAAACAATATACGCCCTTGATCTATCAATCCGGGCGCATAAAAATTATTTATATCCAAATAAGTTGTTTTCGAGTTAAAAGTTTGCTTTGAATGAATGTATTATATGAATATCTAATAAATTGTGTTAAAAAAGGCTGGTAAAACTTTTTTTTTTTATAAAAAAATATTTATGAAAATAAACACATTATTTGTGAATATTCTTTAAACCTATGGTTTAAAACACCATAAAACTAGTCACAACTGAGGACAACATGTTTGTCAATCATATTATAAAAAGAAATTGAATCGAAATCGAGAAATTTTAGAAAAATTATTTTTTTTTTAATATTTGGACCTTACCCGATCAAAGTTAAACTGATCCCTATCAAAATTGATACAAAATGAATAAAATGCTAATTAATTGCCTCTTCATGTATTTACAATGAAGAAATCTATTTGATTGTCAAGTTCAATAATGTTTTAACCCTTATAACACCTAATCAGACTAGTGTTCTTGGGAAAATGTTATTTATTTCCAATAATTGTATAGTTATGGTTGGGCTCGGTTTAATTTTGATCGGGATTGTCCAAAATTAAAAAAAAAATCATTTCTTTAAAATTTGGCCATTTCGTTTCAATTTCTTTTATAGATATGATTAATGAACATGTTCTCACAACTTGTGACTGTTTTTAAGAAGATTTGAACCACAAGTTTAAAAAATATTCAAAAAATATGTGTTTTATTTTCATGAATATATTTTTATTAAAATTTTTAAAATATTTTTACGTCTTCTCTGAGTGGACATAGTGGTGCAGTTTTTTTTATCATTGTCCTCATAATGTACAATTTGATGTAATAAATATTTGTATAATGAAAGATATTTAAATTGCGTTTAATCTCAAATTTTTATTCACAAATTATATTTCAGTGAAAATTGACGAACACTTTTAAGACTCTCAAAACTTGTTATGCTGTGTTTTTGAATAGTTTCCGGATGTCCTACTGCGCATGCTCTTAATTCGAACTTTGGCAAATTCGTACTGAATTCATATTTATCATTTGTAAAATTCCTATGTTTACCATCCTTGTAAGTTAAATTAGGTAGTATTGATATACGATAAGTGCGACTTTGTCAATTCCGACCTCGTTATGGTCTGACAGTTTTAGTTGGCAATTTAACTCAGTTTGAATTCAATGTTGAATCAACGATAAATTTTCAACCTTGAAAGGTCAACGTTCAATCAATACTGTATCTAGATTTATCAAGTCTTATATTCAACGTTTAAACAACGTTTTGTGCCTGATGGGAATATATTTAATTGTCCATCTCAAATGTATGCTAAAGTAATAAATAAGTTTATAAACTTCAATGGGAATTGAAGTGGGTCGGTACCCATCCTGTGGGACCGAAGGTCTTCTCAGAAGATTTGATCACGTGACCGACCCACTTTAATTCCCATTGAAGTTTATGGACTTGTAATTTATTTTTTGAATATTATACACTTCCATTTAAAAATACTATTAAAGCAATAGCTGGTGTTTTTTTTTACATTGGTTTTCTTCCCAATTTTGAAATGTTGAATTATAGCATCGCGTCACAAGATATTTGCTAAGACACTAATGCATTGATTTACATAGTAAAAGACCTATTCTCTTTAGTAAACATTTTCCTGGTACATGTATTAGCTTGTTCAATTAAAAAAATCAGATACTATACGTCGCTCTGAATATATTTTTTGTAATGACAACGTATGTTTCTTTAAAAAGTAAAAATGTACTTCCAGCACATAATTTTACAGCATTATTGAATGAATTAGGTTTAGATATTTTTTGTTTAAAAAACATGTATTAAAATTTGATTCAGTGAATAAGTCACTTTCTGACTTTCTTTTCTTTAAAAAATCTGTTAATTTTATTTATTCTAGGCTACATTTTTGTACATTTACAGCCTCTGAAGTCATAAAGTAACTATATAACTATCTCTTACTTACTACGAATTTGTCAGAATTCCTGACTTTTCTTGAATTTTAACATCTCTCTTGTGAAAGTATACTAAACAACAGGGAGCTTGTGACTTCAGAATACACAAGGGGGGATATGTCGCTCAAAACTTTATTCCCGCATGTATGATCATAGCCGTCCCGGAAAGCAGTACAAGGGATTGCTTTGTCTGCTTTCTAGAGCAGTTTCAGAACAATCCCTGAGCATTGCATTCTTGTACAGCTTTAGTGTCAGATTGGATCTGATTAGTATTGAAAATACCTGCAACAACAACAATTGCTTCCGTGGACTTTATTTCTTTTTGTTTTCTCACTATGATGTCCGGCAAATTTGGAAGCTCTTTTTTGAAGTGTTCTTGAAATTCCTCATTTTGAAAGAGTTTCAGTAAATACTGGGTGATGGACATTGTCTTCTCCATCGCTTCATCGGCTGAGAAACTAGAACATATCAAGCGAAACAATGTAAACATGTATTAAGTAAAATTGTATGCTTAGTACAATACATTCTGCTATGATTCGATGTCAATAACATTAACAAATAGACTTAACTGTTGGAGTACACTAAGCTCTATAAACGATATTCCCGTTACTATACGAGTATGCAAAGTGCTTTTCATACTTAAGCAGTATGTAATGACACTTAGATATCAGTATGAGGTAACCCAATATTCCAACATTAATACAATTTTAATAATTAAATGATGAACTAATGAAACTTTTTTTTATATTTTATATTAATAATCGATAAGAATGACCTTATTGACGGAATGTCATACTGACCAATTTTCTTGATAAAATATAATGCATAATTTAGATGTATTCGAATAATCCAATGGACTTGAAGATTTGAAATAAGTATATAAAGACTGGACTGGAGGAGAGACTTGGAGACTCTAAAATAACTAACCACTATACGGATTGAAGAACATTATGGCCCCCTCCCCCTGTGCTAGTAAAGCTAATACTGGACTGTGTTAGTGATTTGTACAAAATACTGGTTTTATATCTGTTTATTTATATGACGTTTATTGCACAACTGTGGTTTAATATATACATCTTGCACTCATACAAAAAGGCCTTGTGTTATATAATACACAGTCACAAGAGATGCATTCAGGATGCTGTTCCCTGTTGAGTAAACGTGAATGAGTAAACCATGAATGTCCAATACGAATTCTTGATATAATGACTTCATCCTGACGTTTAGACCAAAATTAGATGAATTGTTTTGAGAATAAAGGAATTTGCATGTTCAATCGCTTTCCAAGACGCGTCTCATTCAGCGCATTCGCATTATTGAAAAGTTTGTGGACTATAAACTCCAGCTGGGTGATTTGTGACGACGAAGTGAATTCTTGTATGAAATACCAAGAGGAACGGCTCCTGTTAACGTGATAATAGGTTAGTTGTAAATCAGCGAAGAAGTCAAACGTATTTACGGAATCACAGTCTAGTCAGTATAGTACGCAAGGGACATCAACGATAGTAGTAACATTGGATAATTTATGCATAACGGGCTTCGCCCGTTATGCAAATTATTCCATGTTTCCCACTATCGTTGATGCCTTGGCATACTATACTATCTAGACTGTGATTCCTTTTATTTCCGTTTCATTGTGAAATAAAATTGAAGATTTAGATTTTAAAAATGTAGACAAAGATTTAAATTACATGAGGACTCAAGTGCCAATTTCAATAGTCCTCGGTCACTGACGTCAAACACAAAGGCAGCCGCACGAGCTTTACTTGCTTATTAGGCCTTATTAGCGTCAGACACAAAGATAGACGCGCACGAGATTTGCATTCATATTAAGCCTCCCTAGCTTCTGACCAATTGACCTGCTTAATTTACATTTAGGTAGAATTATCAAGGAATCAACTCCGTTAACTTAAAAAGAGTTCTCACAAAGAAAAATATAGAAATAGAAATATTCATGCCTCGACGCACACAAGGTGCTATAGAATTCAGCTGAAATACAATTTTTGCTTAGAAGTTTTTCCAAAGGGAGCGATGTTCCTTTAACAGGGTTCTCCTTTAATCTGTCTCCTAATAAATTTTAGTGAAATTTATTGCGTGGACCCTGAGGTCCACGCAGTAAATATATAAGAGAGGTTAAACCGGATGCCCTGGGCAAACGACAGGCTACGCATGCGCGAAAATGCTAAAGAGTTCGCATCTTAGATAACTTGCCCGTAGAATAATTAGCCCTATTCGAATTAAAATATGCCATTCACTGGCAAATCGCGCTTTTAAATCTGCATATCGCATTTACATATTCATTGCCAGATCCAATTATCTCTCTTTTACATATACTTTTATATACAAACTAAACAATGATTCTATAGCACAAGTATTTTAAGAAGTTACAGTATATAGTAGATACATGTAACTTAACAACTTGAATGAAAAACGCCACTCAACGAATAGAGATAGCTTTTAAAAGATACACGTTTTTACAGGCATTAGTTTTGTGCATCAAGGCTCGCAAATTAATTTAATATTTCAACAATCTATATAAATATCAGTTGTTAAAGGTCTATAGGAACGGTTTTTAATGTGGGGGGGGGGGGTGCTCCGACAAAAAAGAATCTGCGTACTACAGAGCTGTGATACTCGTGAAACATATTTCTAGTTTTTCCATGATATATTTCTTCCGTATAAATCCAGAACAGGCGTGAAGTCCTAGCCAGTATGAGTTTCACGGATCAAAATAACCCGCGATTAAACTAAAGGTCGATCGCTAATCGGAGATAAAATTTCACAATATTGCTTTGAGACCACAATCAGTTATAAGTAGGCAGATCATCTTAGAAAAAGTGAACAAACCCTACATGAATATTCCCTACACCTAGAATTTTTTTTAATTGAACATGCATATGGTCCACGTATTGCAGTCCTTTTTTAAAGGACAGCAACTTGTATAATGTATTTGTGAACTGGCGACTTTTTCGTCAAATCGAACAAAAATATGGATTTGTCAAACTTGCACTGAAATGGTTTCATAGTGTTATTTTGAAGTATGTTTCTACAAAATTTGAATCGATAATAATGAAAGCAATACTTCAAACGAAAATACGTCATAACGTGGAAGTATCCAATACTACCTTAACCTTCATAGAAAATATTCAAGAACATATTAAAACTACCTATGTGCTTTAAGGAATATGAAATAAGGAAAGAAAGAATAAACTTAAGTAAAGGTTAATATACTGAAAAAATGAAGTTGCCGTATCCTGTATTTCTTTCTTCAGTTTTTCCATATCTTGTACAAACGTTGTTGTCTACAAAAAGAAGTTTTCTCTATTGTTTAAGTCTAAACATTGTGCGTATTAACATTTGTATTAATACTCAATATTTACTTGTTTTTTATAAATAGTTTTTACATTAAATAATACAGCTAAAATAAGGATGGGAAAAGCATTCAAATTATTTATCTGAAAAAAACATTTAGTGTAAAGCAGATGTACATGTAAAAAGAAACACAAATGCATATGCTTCTTCAAAACTAAATAAACTTGAAACCTAGAGCCGCAATTGAAAGAACGTAAATAACATTAAGTACCTTACTTAAACTCGTACAAAATAAATGTTCTTCTGTTATTGGATCTGGCCAACATTCTGATAGCATTGTTTTGAAACTTTGCATTATTTTTATACTTTCACGCTTGTCGTCATCGTCAAGGGTGTCCCATTTGTTGGTCACAAAATACGTTTTTCTTGTTTCAGAGTTAACGAGTTTCTGATGACAAGCAGACAGCATATTCTTCAGCTACGAGTAAAAGAAAGATCGATAAATTGGAAAATTTCAAGAAAAAGCTCAACAGAGCGGGGTAATGAAAATAGGGTCAACTTTTTTTAAATACGAAAGTATTTTTGTGATTTTGTTTTAACTTGTCGTATTTTCTGCTTCAACTTGCATGTATTTGAAAATCTAATTACATGTACATAACCATTTTTTTTTATTCATCTCCCCCGAAACAGCTGTCGAAGATCAATGTATGTAATTTTTGTGTAAAAGATAGATTTACTAGAGGAATTGATATTAAAATCCTTTGTTGAAATTATTTATTGGCAAAAAAACCCAGAGGCAACACATGGATTAACAGGAGAGAGAGAGAGATCTTTGCAAAGGCATTCGCATCAAAATATTGCTGCAAACCTATACATCACGATGGCGCGATTTTAACTACATTCAAAGCGTTATTGGGAAGTGAAGATAAATAAGAAATTTTCCAGCACGTGGAGGGATGTGTCGACAAAGACCTTGTAGTGGCAAGTAGAATAGTAAACTGTACGTCAGAACTTCCCGCAAAATAAAACAAGTAATGCATACCGGTATCAGCTGAAGCATGTAATAATAGGAAGTACATAATTGCATATCTTTTACAGGAGAGAATAACCCAGATAGCATGCTAACATTGGGCCAACGTTGGATAACAAAACTGGTTTTATATTCGGAAAAGCCATCTAACTGAAGTGTCCTTAAGTACACATAAAAATCAAATGTCTATAATAATCACTTTCGTAATAAATTCATGATATTTAATCTAGGATAACATTCAAACTTTCAATAAAATTCTCTTGTTTTTGCCACAATTGCATTCATTAAAAATAGATTAAGTGTTATTATAAGTAATGACTAAGATTTTTAAAGTCTGCATTTTTCCTTTCTTTTTTTCAAAAATTCCATGCTGAACAATATTGTGTTTTACGTATCTTAAGAATAAGCGGTATACTAAACTGATACCTTTTCAGGATGTGTTAAACAAATATCAGAAATTCCAACAATCACAATTAAAACGTCTGTTGAAAAGCTGGGATACCATTGTGCGTCAAAAACACTTTCGGGCAGTTCCGTTAAACACCACACTCTCTAAAATCAAACACAGAAGTATTTCATTTTCTTAATCTTAGATCTCCATAACCTTATCTTTTTAAAAGAAGATCTAGACAATTTTCAATTTTCATGAGCTAGACAGAAAATCATACATGGCAGAATAATAGACATAGGTTCAAAAGTACTCAAATAAAGTCTATAAAATGACCCCCTCGCCCTAAAAAACTAGTTACCAGAATAAAGTAAAAGGACTTTTGAAATTAGATAAAGGATAATGAAATCATTGCTATTAATATCTTTGTAGAATTGGAGGATGGTTACTGTTTCGGGTATCTTATATGTATTTTTGCATTTAATTAATTTCAATGACGAACTACGTTGTACTATATAAAAGATAGAAATAAAGTCCAATTGAACGATTAAATAGCTTATTTAAAATAAACAGCATGTTCAAACAAAAGGATATGTTTCATTAAGTAAAACAGTTCATTTATCAAACTGTCTTACTTGAACATTCGTATGTTTTGATAAGAACGTTGTTTATGGATAAAAAAAAAAAAACCCAGGTACATGTATATCCAAATTTAACAGAATGTGATCAGTATAATGTATGTAACAATGACTGAACATTATAAGTTTTGTATAGATTTATATCAAACTAAAAGCACAAGAGGACTTTAAGATACCTGTAACTCTTCAGTTTCAACGAAAATATCTACAGCAGAAAAATTCTGTATGCTTCCTTCTTGTGTAGTTAAAAATTCTTTCATCTCCTCTTTTGATGTGAAAGATTTATTTTGAATTGCAGTTTGCTCCAAATCTAAAATTCTTACTCCATTATATTTGCAGAAATGCGTTCTAAAGATACATTTTGTTGATTCTACAAGACTTGGCTTGATTAATGGATAGTTAACTAATTTGTTAACCAGTGATGTCTTTCCAGCTTTCCTAGGACCTAAATTAATTTAATAAAGTACCTCGTTATAAATTATGCATGAAAATTAAACAAAGTTTTGAAGTACAACAATTGCAGAAGAGCCTTAATCCGAATTTTAAAGGCCATTCTCCGGTAAAACTTTTTTCTTAAGTAATTTTAAACTCATTTAAACTGATATGTAGGAAATTATACCTAAACAAAATGAAAAAAACAAACATTATTTGAAATCTCAATTTATTTGTACTATTGCATATCGTATATTACAGTTTTGGCTTCTCTTAACACGTAATACTAGTATGTGGAAATTTGTTTATCTTCCTATATTGTATCACATATAAAAACATCCACGTACCTAATATTGTTATTCTAAACTCCTCTCCCATCAGAAAATCACTTTCATCAAATTCTAGTTCAGCAATGCTAACAAAATCAAAGTGAAATTGCATTTACATGTGCATCAAAGATACATAAAAAGAAATTAAAGTATTAAAGCAAAATCAAACCTTTTCCTTTTGGTTGGGAAGTTGTGATCACTATCCAAAAATGCATTTACAAACAAAAATGTAGATATTCAACACCAAAAGAGTCAATTATTGTTTTATTATACAGTCTGGATTTGTGTAAATAAGACATTGATTGTATATTGTTTAACGTCCCTCAAGAGAATTTTTCCTCACATGGAGATAAGACATTGAAGGTTGCATGACGATACATTTTCATTTCCAAATTCTAGTCTTTGAAAATAAAGAAAAATGTCAGTTTGTAATTTCCAGGGTTCGCTGTGTTTAAGACGTCCAAATGTATTTAAAAAATCCTGCGATAGGTTTTTCTAGCATAATTACCAGTGTTAGATTGACTTGTCCGGTGTGAGACAGCAGTGTGACATTTTTCTTTCTTACACTGTTTATTACTACGCCGCGAACGATAACGTAAACATTCCGTCTTAATATAAAGAAATTGTAATAATGTTAAAAAATATCACATATAGTTAAAATGTTGTCCTTTAACTTATTAAAATAAACTTATTTCAATCAAAATATTGTCGTATTTTCACTTTTTAAATGGTACTATATTTAGATCGCGGAAGAATTCTTCCAGAATTAATGTTTACGCTATCGGATAAATAAGTTTTTTTTTATTCCCAGTTTTAATCTATCTTATCAATTTACATGGACTAAAATTCACTTTTTAGTTTACACTACGTGTAAACCATTTTCAGGTACGCTCTCTCCGATGGTGTATTCAGATTTTTAATTAGATGGAAAATTAAAAAAAATATTTTTTGTAGCCCTATGGCGACGTCATTGACGGGCCGTTATTTTGGATAAAATATGCGAGAAAAATAATCATTCATCACTTATTCGCGTGGAAATAGTGAAATTCCACCTCGGGGCCAAGATTCACGGTCTAGGACTCGGCAAAGACTCGTCCTAGACTGTGAATCTTGTCCCCGAGGTGGAATTTCACTATCCCACACTCGTAGAATTGAATAATTCTCTCTGTCTCACATTTTCCAGTTTAGACATATAGTTGGCTTCGACCCTTTCATCCACTGCGTACAATGTTGTTTGGGATGTTGATAATTACGTCACAATACCGTTGCACGAGCACTGACCCTCCGGTGAATGTGTAACTGTTTGCGCTCGTACAGATTGTTTATTAGGGAATAAAGAGATGCCTTATATCAAACGCTTTTATCATGTTTATGTTAAAAAAAATGTCGGAAAAAGAGTTTATTTTTCCATTGTAACGAAGGCGATGTTGCATTTTCTCCTGTTTAATTACATGTTGCCATATTACGCAGATAAGAGAATCTTATATATGGCTCAATGAAGTTTGTATGATGCGTTTATGCAATCTGAATTTTAAAAAAAAATTGATCCTTATATAATAGAGATCATATATTGGGACAGATTTATAGGGAATTTCTATTTTATACACAATGAAGATCATTGTGATGATGTGTTTAGAGACGAAGTGAAAGATAATATTCTGACAAAATTTATTTATTATTTTAACTATTTGCTTTGAATTTTTTTTGAATTGCAAAAATATCTCTAACTGTCTTCTCAATGTTCCATATTTTGACATAAATAAATTTGGGTTCTATTTCAATCTTTTAGTTACAGAAATGAATCACACATTTTCTCTTACGAAAACTTAAATTGAGGTTTTTATGAAAAAGTACAACATAGATTTGAAAAAGACTGGTTTATATACAATTATAGCCTTTTGATGGGGTCAATCCCTCGATATATAGACCTTAGAGAAAGCATATCGACCGAGCACGAAGTGCGAGGTCTATATGCTTTCTCTAAGGTCTATATATCGAGGGATAGGCTACAATTGTTTTATTACTTTTTTTTATCAGTTAATAAGAAATGTTTTAAAATCCTTCTTTATAATACTCAGTACCTTCTCATACGAGTCATTGTTATGTCATTGCATTATGACGTCACAGTAATGAAAACCAGCTGCAGTATCTGTTTTTAGAAACATCCAGTCTATAAAGGCTCTATTGTTGCTTCACAGAAGAACGTTTCCAATTTTAGAAACAGCAGGTTTATAATTTTTTAAAATAGAAACATCCAGTCTGTAACACTTTTTATACTTGATCATGTGATCCAGTTTGAGCCAATCAGATAGTTGGAATGATAAAGAAAAATAATAATATTTTTATTGCATATCCTTAAGTTCAATGTCTGATTTCACAATCTTCAAACAGGGTCTGATGGACATATTTTAAACTTAAAGATACACTCACATACATGTAGCAAACAAAGCTCTATATCTGCACGTATTTAACATTGCGGAACACCCAGAGGACAGACGGACAGACAAACGATAAGGAAAACGGCGGAGGACTACTAAATATACATCAAGTAATTAAATTTTCTACAATAAGAAAAATCGACTCATATCAAAAGCTGACAACGCACTCTTCATAAGTGCAATGAAAATATACCTTTTGATTAGAATTATGATGCTGTATGAGAAACTAATAACTAAATGTAAGAAGCATAAAATAGATCGAAAAGGAAATTAATAGTCTATTTGTCAAGACTATTACCATCCCTTCCCCATAATCATCTTTTTTTATTCACAATTTATATTTTCTATAAAACAGCATCAATTTTGATATTATGAACAACGATTTTACTTTCTGGTGCATCAATTTTACTACAAATGATACCCCACCTCCCATATGATTATAAAGGCAAAGTCCATGTTTTTCGCGGGAAAACCTGAAATGTCAGATCAAAAAGTAACAGAGATGTATGCAAAACAAGTATGCTCCCTCCCCAGAATTGGAATTTTTTTTGTCCAAAAGGGAATAACTCTGTAGAAGATTGCGTGATTGTACCTAAGCAATAACTTGACCAACTTATCTAATAAATCTGTATACCAAATTTCAATTCAGTATGTGCACCTCTGCGAAGGAAATTGAACGGAAACTGCAAATAATTTGAACGTTTCTAAGTCCAAGGGGCATAATTCTGTCGAAAATTGCGCCAGAATACCCCCCCCCCCCCAAAAAAAAACACCTGACCTAGATACATATATCTATCTGATAAATCTGTATACCAAATTTCATTCCAGTCTGTGCAACCTCTGCGAAGAAATTGAACTGAAACTGTAAAAAAAAAGTGAACTTTTCTAAGTCCAAGGGGCATGACTCTGTCAAAAGTAATGCGTTCGCACCCAAAACAAAACCTGACCTAGATTTTTATCTGATAAATTGGTATACTTAATTTCATTTCAGTATGTACAACCTCTGCAAAGAAAATGAACGGAAACTGCAAATAATGGGATTTTTTCTAAATCCAAGGGGCATAACTCTGATATATCTGTTTACCGAATTTCAATTTAGTATGTGCAGCGGCTGTGAAGAAAATGAACGGAAACTAAGTGGATTGACTGACAGACAGCAGAAAAGCAACATGCCCTCTCTTCTTCGAAGGGGAGGGGGGATTTAAAAATAAGAGCTGCACAATTACACGTGTACGGATGGGGGGGGGGGGGGGGGTGATCAAGAAGTTCGCAAACTCATTGAATAAATTTCATAAAAGTAATATTATAGGGTTTTAGTTTTGAAAATATTTCAAAATAGTTTTCTTCGATTTTAATTCGCATCTGCAATTCTTCTGGTGACGTAACAGTATTTCACCTGGGTTCACGTCAAATCATGGCTGACGCAAAATAATCCCGGAATCTTCCCTTTCGATTCGGGCATTTTGATATGAAACTGGAGCTGAATTTTTTTATGAGATGAAAAACAACATGTAAACTTCCTGTATTGACCAGATCTATTAAAATTTAGGGCGTGCTGATCTAAACACTGTCAAGAGTGGGGAGTGATTAGGCCCTGGACTAGATTTTCAAACACCTGCTCGACTTCGACGAAAAGAAACTTGCGTGCCTTGCTGGATAACTATGTATTTTTTGGTACTAAAATTTTTATAAAGAATGGTTTTACAAGATCTAAAAAGGAAACTTCTCATTAGTTTGTTTTGAATTAATTACACATACTCAAACTTGCGCATTTTGGGTAAGAATATATAGCAGAATTTAATTCTGCCCATGCACGAATCACGTGATTTAGGCGGTCATGTTGCATGCTCCGCAGCGTTCCGTCATAGAACATGTAGAAGCTTAAGGATTTTTTCGAATGATATATTTCTAACCATGTAAGTTGCTTTTCATAACAAGCACAATTTATTAGTCAGAATCTCGGCAATGGTATAGGTTGCAGAATGAACATAAACCAAGTTCTCGGTCTTGGGAGCGTCGTTTATTCAGTGATTATAAAGTGTGGGCGCCTTCTTTTTTCATCATATCAAATAGGTTAAAAGTCTAATATAACAATATTTTAGGGATTTAATGATTATATTCTGGTGAATGTATTTAATTATTTTTGTGGTATGAAATTTGTCAATCTTTCATATCAAATTGCTTAACAAAGGACACGTCTCTTCCCCAGCTTACTTTCACTGGGCAACAAAACAAACATCATTT